TAATTTAACAACAATTAAATTATCTGTTCATTAACATTGTTTAAATAATTAAGTGATAATTATTTGAACGTTTACAACAATTCTCAAAGAAAAACAAAACAAAACTGGATTATAAATAATATATATATATATATATATAACTATTTTTTTATTATTTCAAGGATGACAGAGAATCCTCAAAGAAAAACTAATATATAGACATAATAAGCAGGTAAAGAAGTAATATATTTATTTATATTGTATATATATACAACTATTATTAAAAAATATAAGGAAAAATATCTCAATTCTATTTATTATTATTATTATTATTATTATTATTATTATTTCAAAGATGACAGAGAATCCTCAAAGAAAATCAAAACTAGATAGATAATAAAGTGTATTACAACTACACTCACTGGACAAAAATATATGAACATTTGTTGATCATCAAAAATAATTGAGTGACTTTGACGTAATAAAACTAAATATTTTATTAACCTAATCGATCCTATTTATTAAGTAGAAATCCTTTTTCATATCAAATTCTATAACATACTGAAGTTTCATTGCATATAAATAAAAATTGATTGTTATATGAACCTTAAAAGATAAATGAAAATTTTTAAAAAATCTTAATCTCAAAAATTGACCACAATGGCAAGTTTTAACATTTCTTATGGAATAAGTAAAAAATGATCGCAATGTTTGGATTTAGTTGGTTACGAATTTATAGAACATTTGGTGAATTAATTGCTGAGAAAAATAATAAAACGTGGAAATTTTTACAAAGAAGTTTAACCTTGAATTGTTCACTAGTTTAAAAAATAAAAGGCATCGAAAGATACATAAAACTATTTAAAATACATTGTAGTTTATTAAAAAAATTTTAATATCTTGTCGGATTTCCTTTATTTTTTAAAACGGCATCAACTCTTCGTGGCATACTATCTATTAATTTATTAATTCTTTCTGGCTTAGTATTAAACCATTCCTCTTTTAATAAATTAAATAATTCTGTCTTGTTTTTTGGTTTTATATTTCTCATTCTAAGTCTTCTTTTTAAATCCTGCCATAAATTTTCAATAGGGTTAAGGTCTGGACTTTGAGCAGGCCAAGGGAGAACTACAATGCGATTTTCTTCTTTCCATTTATCTGCTGCAGCTGCTTTATGACATGTTGCATTATCTTCTTGGAAAATAAACACACCATCACCATCATCTTCTTCTTTTAGTTTGCTAATAAAAGGTAATAAATTTTTTGCAAGAAGTTGGTTATAACCGCTTGCATTTAATTTGCCTTCAATTAATACTAATGGACCTATTTTTTTCTTGTAAAACATCCCCAAACCATGATTCCATCAGATTTTTTTACTGTTGGACTTAAATTTTCTTTATTATACTTTTCCCCTGATTTCCTCCATTTGAATCATTTTGAAACAATTCAAACCTGCTTTCATCACTAAATATTATTTTATCCCATTCATTACTCCAATTTTTCCTTGCATG